AGATAGCATAATGATCTACACTCAAGTTAAATAACATTAAGTATATAATTTTATAATCTATTGATTGTGTCATGATTAAGTGACACGATTTTATGTTGAACTAATAGTATGTATACTTTACTACATGAATTTTTGTGATTATGTCTTGAGGTGAATTGTTTGGTATCTATATGATAAATGAAGTCTTTATGACTATGATGTATGTGATATGATGTTGTGAAGAGAACATGATGATTATGATGGTTGATGATGCGTTTTTTACTAGCCGTGATCATATTTTTATCTATTGTTGCGCATCATGCAATCATAGCATTTGTTAGGACGAATAGTCCAGTTATATTTTGCAGAATAATAATCCAATGAAGTTTGTAGGACGCTTTTGTCCAGCGAAGGCCTTAATCCTATAGTGTTGATTAAGTACATTTTGTGATGTTCTCTATTTCCCAGCAGGAACTGATCCTATTGGTGGGCATGTTTGGAGATAATAATGTTTATGTCATCAGTGATGTTTCAGTACAACATCCATGAGTCTAGTAATGTTTCATTTCATTATTAGTGGCATTTCACAATAATTGAATTAAGTGATGTATTTGACTGATTATTGAATGGTGGTGTTTTGATGAGAAGAGCTAGAGATTGATGTTATGCTATAGATGTAGCACAAGATGCCATGTCATTGTACTGTAACTATGCTATAACTACTATATCTATTACTTAAGTTTTTTTATAATGAATATGATTTACTCACCCCTTTCTGTTTGAATGTTGCCTCCACGTGGATAACGCGCAGGTGATCGAGATTAGTTCGTAGTAGCGTGAGGATAGCTTGGAGTCTGTTGTGTGAGTCTATTTTATAAAAAGGGTCTTTCTCTAATATGTAACATCGAGGTATTTGAGATTTGTTTAAATTGAAACATTTTATTTTTTTGGCATGATGCAGTGAGACATGTGGTTTGTTTATTAAGATGTTTTGAGCATGACTTATAAGTCACAAAGCGTGACAATACTTTATTTGAAGTATTTAATAAAAAATTTTAAGACTATAATTTATGCTGCGATGTTTAAAGTTCTTTATGATTGTTGAAAATCCGTGTTACAAAGTAGGATGTATTATTATGATATTTTATATGAAGATGTGACGCCCTGGCTGGTGATTTGTGCCTGAATATTTGTTAATTATCTGCAATAATTTCTTGGGGTTTAGAAGGTTGTTACACAAAATAATGGAGGCTTGTTATTGCTACCACCGTCTTTGAAAACCGGATTTGTATTTGTGGAAGCCATTCTGGATCTTTAGGAAAATGTTACCTATAATCAACTCTAATACCAATTGTAAGTTTGGAGTGCGCCTAAGAAGGGGGGGGGGGTGAATTAGGACTTTAAAAATTTATCTAGTTTTAGAAACAAGTTGTTGGTGAAAGAGTTTAGAAATGTGTTTCTTTGTTTTCTGGTTATGATTTAAGATGAAAGGGATAAATTCGGAAAAGTAAAGAACACAAGGATGTTTCTTGATTCCCCATACAGTCCGAAGGTACATTCAATCCCCTTTCAATATGAAAGAGATTTCACTATTGTTAGATCTTTGTACAAGCCTTATATCAAGACTTCGCCTACAATCTTCTAACAACAAAACCACCAAGAATAATCCTCTTGGATCAACCAAGTTGAAATAAGAACAATGCTCACACTTTCAACCTCTTGCTTCTAACAATCCTGGATCGTAAGGAACAACCAAACAAGTAGAACAAGAAAATAATCATTTCCTTTCTACTCTCTTGTTTCTATAAATCCTGGAAAACAAGGAATTTACAATCCAAATCTGAAAAAATATTAAGTGATAAAGTTTATGAATATGTATGAATCACTGAGATTGATCTTCTCTTTCCAGTAAACAATTCACAATGATATATTAGTGCTTAACTGTTTTATGAATTAAGGAGAAATTTTTCTGAATTGATATGAAAACTATATGCAAAAAACTTCTCAGTGAAAGCTCAAGTATCAAAACACTTGTTTGAAAATGTATGAGTAAATCATTTTAAATTTCAATGAAAGAGGTGTGATTTGAAATATGAAAATAAGAGTATTTATAACACCTTAACACCGTTTTGAAAGTGTATGAATAAGTCAGAAGACTCCAGGATTGAGAGATGCAAAAATAAATTCATTTGGATCAAATTTGAAAAAATAAAATGCTAATGTTTCTGAGGTAACATGTTACCTCTAGATGTAACGTTAAAAATTTTCAAAAAAATTATTCATGTAACCGGTTACCTCACCATGTAACTCGTTACCTCATTGAAAATATGCAAAAACACGTAAATGCAGAGGTATTCTCCAAGGTCATGTAACCGGTTACTTCATGATGTAACCGGTTACATCACTGAAAGTTTTGAAAAACATTTTTTAAAAACTCATTTAAAACCAATGGCAAACAAATTAAATGATGGTTATGCGTATGTATGGAAATATAAGTAATTTTGAGCACTTAGAACATATCAAGGCTTGAATTGAAACTTGTACCAATAAAAATTGAAGATCATTCAATGAAATCTAATCTTCAAGAAAATTGTATATTTATCAAGTCTCTATCCATAGATCTTTGATATTTTGAACATCCTTTGCTGATATATATATATATATATATATATATATATATATATATATATATATATATATATATATATATATATATATATATATATATATATATATATATATATATATACTCAAGATAGTTGTCTTCATTAAAATATAGTGTTTGGAGAAGGTTGACTTCACAAATCTGTGATAGGATATTACTACCACTAAACAAAAGTGATCAACTTTAAAAAACAGATGAATGGTGTTGAATTTTACAACTTAACTAGATAAACCTTCTATGCTAAGTTACTGAAACATACAGGTGTACATATAGATTATACACTAACCCTATTAGGGAACTACTGTGGAATTCAAGACACAACATATCATTATAAAAATATTCAATGTAAAAGCTTAAATTCTGAATTCAAAAGCTAGTCGTATCCTCCTTATATAACAATTCTTTTGGGGGTTTCTTCATGGATCTGAGATTTGATTTTGTCCAAAAATATTGCTAAATCAGCTGGAGATTTGATTTGTTCCTTGAATATCTCCAGAATATATATCCAACGTGATAACAAATGAGAAAATAAGATAACACTCATCATACTAAAATATAGAACCATTTAGAAGGTCAATGTTCAAACTCAAATGAATTCAAACAGTCAAAGATGCAAGCCATAGGTTTGAAGGTTAACAAAACATCAGTGAAAGTCTTAGTTAAAGAACTAGTTGAGGAACTGACATAGTTGTAGAACAAAGCTCTGACAAAGATAAACAAAGAAGAAAATATCATAAGCCTCAAACGAAGATCTCAAGTAAGATGTCAACTCAATGGATACATCAAAACAACAAGCTTAGAGAAGTTACCCCGATTTAGTAAGTGAGTGAAATTTTTGTAAAAGTCAAAATTCTTTTCTTTATATAGGATTGGCTATAAGCCGACACACACTTAAACTTTATTTATAAAATGTGTCTAAAAAGAAAAAGCTTTGATGTATTTACAAGTTTTCTAGAAAGCATGAGAACATTAAAAAAGCCATAAAAACCTTTTTTTATTGTCTCTAATCGATTAGCACAAAATGTCAATTGATTAGATTGGTGTAATTTTGTAGATAAAAGTAATTTGTTTGTACCCAAACGATTAACAATGACTAAATATACTCTAAGAAATATTGCCTCCAACCACATGAATAACATGAGGCAGAAAATGAAGGTGGTGTCGTGATTGTCACGACACAACACATATAAACTAATAAAATAATGATGTTCAACTTTTCACGTGGGGGAAAGAGAAAATTTTGAAATAATTTTAAATAATAATTATTCCCTCACAAATTTTCCAGTATTTCAAGTGGTAGGAAATTTAAAATTTTTGAAATTTTTTAGCCTTGTGAAAATCAGGAGGCAAACATAAAGTCTGTTGCAACACTTGATGTGCCTTGCACGGTGGTTGTGAGAATTGATGTGTTATCTGGGAAAATGTTTGTGTCGTGATAATCATGTGAAAATGTTTCGGACTATTACATTTGCGTCGTAATTTTCACGACGGTAATGCTATTTATAAATCTCAACTACATCATTCCAGAACCACCCTCGTTCATATCTTTCCTCCCTCTTCACCATTTCTCTTCTTCTTCTCATCATCAATCCTTACTCTTTTTCTTCAAATTTTCTACTCTTCCTAACCAATTTTATTAAACTTTTCAATATCAAAAGTTAAAGGTATAAAATATTTATTTTGTCTTATTTAATAGCTTAACAATTTTGTTTTATTTTTTATTTCAATTTTCTTTGATGAAATTAGGAAGTAGAAGATCAAAGCCAATATTCAAAAAGTTGTTCAAGAAGTTGTAAGGATTTATTAAGGTATGTTTCAATTTTACCTTTTAAAAATACATATATAGTTTAACTTGGGTTGATTTTTTTGTTGTATTGTTTTAATTTTTTAAAAGGTTTAATAATTTATAAATAGGTTTAAAAATTAAAAAATATAATATAAAAACATGTATATACAAGGCAAAATCACGTGATCATAATGTATGTGTAAAACCCAAATCCACCAATTAACATGTATACATACAAGCCAAATCCACAGAATCGTGATAATAACATGTATATACAAGGCAAAATCACGTGATCATAATGTATGTGTAAAACCCAAATCCACCAATTAACATGTATACATACAAGCCAAATCCACAGAATCGTGATAATAAACTGCATGTAAAAGCGAAATCCATCGAATGCAAAATACCATCGAATCCCAAAAAAATTATAATACTTTATACTAATGAATTGAGATTTGCATTAATTAATTGGATCCGTGGTCCTATAAAGGTAAAGAAGAGTTGGTGATTTTATTCCACCAAACCCACAAAAGCCAATTTATCTCATCCTCCTTTCACACTGTCAAAATGTCTAAACCTATCTTTCGGGAATACATTGGTGTGAAGCCACACTCAACAACTTTGGATGATTTTCCACCTGAAATCATCAAAACAGATACCTTGGAATTCCACTTCATTTTGGGCTTTGCCACTGAAAAGTATTACCTAAGCGGAAAAGGTTCGGGAAATTTCGAGGAATCTTGGAGGGATGAGTTCTTCGGTCCAGATAAAGTGAAAATTTTGAAAATAAAACATCCAGAGGTAAAGGTGGTAATAAGCATTGGAGGTCGTGGCCTTGAAACTCCATTCGATCCAGCTGAGCACTATGTATGGGTTTCGAACGCTGTAAAATCACTCAAACTGATCATTCAAAAATACAAAAATGAAAGCGGAAACATGATCGATGGCATTGACATTAATTATGAGCACATCAAATGGGATGAGCTGTTTGTTAACTGCATAAGCCAAGTTATAACAGAGCTCAAGAATGATGATGACCTAAATATCCAGGTGGTGTCCATTGCTCCATCCGAAAACAACGCATCCTCCTACCTGAAATTGTATAATGCAAACCCAGACGATATCAATTTGGTTGATTATCAGTTCAGCAATCAACTAAATCCTGTATCCACAGAAGATGCTTTTGTAGACATCTATAAAAGTTTAGTAAAAGACTACAATCCTCATAAAGTCCTTCCGGGATTTAGCACCGACCCCCTTGACACTAAGCGTACTAAAATTACACGAGATACATTCATTGGTGGCTGCAAAAAAATTATATCCTCTTTCCAATTGAAACTACCTGGTGTTTTTTTCTGGAACGCTAATGACTCCGCGATTCCCCAAAGCGATGATGAGGACGAACCTTACATCCTAGAGCATATCTTACAAGACATCCTAACCAAATCAGGTGAGGAGTTACTAGCTATATCTAGCCAGTCATAAATCTTTCATGTTATGCGTCGTGCATCAAAGACGATAAGCGCTATATGCTTTAGCCTTTAAATATTAAATAAAATCTATTGTACTTCTTTTCATGTGTGTTTTTGTATTATGTTGTAAGTGTGGAGAATTACTTCTCTTATATTAATATAACAAGTTCTTGTTTTCCTTTTCTTATGGAATTTATATCATTGCTTCTTAGGACAAAAAGATTATTGTTTTTTTTCTTCTATGGGCTTAAAGATCACATTTTTTATGGTTTCTTCTTCTTCTTTTATATGGTTTTAATTACACCTTATACTAATTCCAAATTTTAATGTACTATTTTAATTTGAAAAAAAAAATCTCACTAGATAAGTTGGGATAAAAGTCTTCTATAGGTTGGGGAAAAACTTGTTTATTCAAAGATCATAGTGTATTAAAGTTCGTGGGTATAACCGATAAAAACTCACAAGTCTATAGTGAAAAATGTCAAGAAAACCTCTTGGGGACAAGACTAGGCCAACGTTTGGCCAGGCCTGGAAGACTCTCCGGTGCAATATTTCTATCCTTACCAACCTGCTACAACTGTTGAAAGAAAGGACACGTTAGGCCAAATTGTCGCCTACAGAAAAGAGAAAATCAAAGACCAACAAAGAATAAAAAGAAAAAGAAAGATAATGTTGCACGTGAAGACAATGATACAAAATAGTCAGCTGACGAGGAAAAATCCAACATTTGTGTAATGGAAATACATCAAGATAACAAGGTAACCTCCAAATTTTCTTACAGTGATTTATTCAAAATATGCAAGAACTTATCTAAATCAACAAATAAACTAGAAAAAATCATTTCAAAATCAAATGATAAAAGATAATATTTACTTATAAATTCGTGGTTAAATATATTACTCATAAAAGATAATTTATATCACTTTAGAACAAATTGCTCTCAAATAAAAACCCTACTTCTCTCTCCTTAATAAAAACTCTCAAAACTCAAACATAACATCTCCAACTAGTATGAATCAAGACAAGGTTACACGAATGCTTGCAAGACGAAACAAGTACCTCATTCCATTGTCTTCATTTTCCAAGACTCTTTAAATAAAAGGTACTTTTGTGACAAATTTTATGAGTTATGTTATTTTTCAAAATATTTGTCTTGTTTTTCTTGTTTTTCTTGTTTAAAATACATGTGAAACGTAACCAAGAAATTAGAATCCAATGGTAAATGAGCTCCTGTAAAGGACGACATTCGGAGAATAGCGAATTCGATTCCTGGTGGGAAACAATGTTTCCCTAGTGTCGTGAAGATTTTGTCTTCGCCCAACATTTGGCTAGTGTCGGCCAATCAAAATTTAGTCTTTAAAATTCCTTGAAAACTAAAAAATAATAATAATCACGAGCATTTCATATCATGCATCATTTCACACATATTTTTGCATTCTTGTGCTTTTCTTAGGTGTTCTTACAAGTTTCTTCTACTTCGTTCAGTCAATAAGCTATCACACTCTTTTGACACTCGGGCTACCACCAAGAAGAAGATGAAAATTTTAGAACAAGAGAATCGTGAACTCAGGGAAGAAGTTACTGTTCTAAAAACCGGTATGACCTGAGTTGTGTTGAAGTGGTACATGGGTTTAGATAGTGCCAATATCTCACTTTCAATGATGTGGGCGAGGCCTTTGTAAGGAAATACAAGTATAATATGGATATGGCTCCCGACCGTGATTAATTGAGAGCTATGACTCAAAAAGGACAAAGAATCATTCAAAGAATATGTGCAGAATTAGCGCGAGGTTGCTGCTCAGGTTGTACCCCTGATGGAAGAAAAGAAGATGACTAAGGTTTTCTTGAAAAATATTGGTTCGTTTTATAATGAGAAGATGGTTGCAAGTGCACCAACTAACTTTACTGAAATGGTTGGTATGGGTGTCCAGTTAGAAGAGGCTATCACAGAGGCTATTAGCGGTACCATTAAAAAGCCTGCATATGGATTCTCCAAAAATAAGGAAGGGAAAACTAATGCAATTATTCAAGGAAATGAGGGTAGACATCGAAGAAAGTATCACCAACATCAGCAACGTGTTGCTTCAGTTACCCCAGTTGTTAGTGTGATTCCAAGAGTTGATGCTTACCAGTCTCCACAAAGAACACAAGCTAACCAAGGGAAAAATCTAAAAAGAGAAGCTTTTGATCCTATCCAAATGAGCTATACTGAGTTATTTTCTGCACTAATCCAGAAGAACCTAGTTCAGACTAGGTCTCCTCCTGCCATACCTGAAAAACTATTGTGGTATTATAAAGCCGATTTGAATTGTGCCTTTCATCAGGGAGCCCCCGAGCATAATGTTGAAAATTGTTATCCATTGAAAACTGAAGTTCAGAAGGTAGTAAGATTTACTATCCTATCCTTTATAGATAAAGTCCCAACGTGCAAGATAATCTGTTAACCAAGCATGTAGGAGGAAATGCCATGAATATGGTTTCTAGTTGTCTTGGAGATTTCAGAATTTGATATAGATTATGTGAGAGAGAATTTGGTAGAGATGCATGCTGATCTCTATGTTCCACCCCAAAATTTACCCTTTGATTTTAGAACCTTAAAGGCTTTTTTTTCATCATATGCATTCATACATTGTAATAGGATCAAAGTATATATGTTTCTCATGATTTTCTACAAGTTATGAATGATGGTTGTGTTATCAATCGGTGCAAGAAGGGTCTCATGTCCTCAATTTTTGAGTAACTCAAGATACAAGGGATTCTCATACCTCAAGATATCTCAATTGTCCCTTTGATTCATCAAAAGTGTGGAATTGGCAAAGTTTTAAAGTGAAACACTTTTCTCCTATCCATCTCTTGATATTAGGTGTAATACGGTGGGAGAACTGACTTTTCCATTTTATCGCAAGTGTGCAGATAGCTAGAGTCGCCACCGACTTTTCTTTTATCGAATAAGGAAATGGTGAAAAGAACATGAAAGACCTTGAATAATTTGAGTTTGGGGGTCAGATATGAAAAGGGAGGGTGTTAGCACCCTTTTCATCCGTAGTTATTTACGAGCTCTTAATCGCTAGCTCACTTTTGAAAAACGGATTTTTTGTGTAAGTGTAAAAAATATTTTGAAAATCCAAAGTACGACTAACTTTGTAATGGTTCGTGTATCAGTCCTCAAGAACGCGTCCAAAGTGTTTTTAGAAAATATTTTTGAAAGTGATGTGTGAAAATGTATTGAATGTGAAAGGACAATCGAGGGTCATCATATGGTCATCGAAGGCAACAAATAAGGATACTTTAGCAATTTATTGGAGGGACTAGATTTTTTTTCATAGGCAACATCGAAGGGTCATCGAGGGACTATGACCTTTATTCTAAGGGACTTTGATAAAGTATCCCTATTTTTAAGGGACATGACCAATTATTCGTAATGTAACGAAGAGAGGTTACCCTAGAGGTGCGAGTGTGAACAGTGATTCAATTCAGTTATTTTATCTTACATTTAGGGTTTTGCTATCAGTTGATTTTAGTCTTGACATATAAACCCTAGTTACTAGAAATTGCATAAAAATTTAATACGGAATATAAAATGCAGAATGTAAACCTAAAACTAATACAAGTATTTGGGGCATTTACATAATAATGAAAGATGTGGGGAAGTAAACCCTAAAACTATTACATACACGAAGCAATTACATAATAAAAAAACGCGAGAAAAAATAAACATAATCTATTTACATTCGAGGAAGCGTCCTATACAATTGATCTAATAAAAAAGAAAGAGGAAAATAGAAAAGAAAATGTTTTTGGTGATTTTTTATGAAGAAAATAGTTTATGATAATAACTAATAAAAACCTAAAAATTCTAATTATTTTAGTTTTAAAAAAGGGTTAATTAATTAAATAATTAAAGGATTAAAAACTTAAACCTAAATAATTAGGGTTAAAAAAGGTTTGTTAATGGTTAATTGAAAAGGAATTAGGGTCAGGGGAAGAAAAATCAAGGAAAATATGTAGAAAACCAATACAAGGAAAAATTGTATGGGGTGGATGTTGAACCCACGCCCTTTAGTTTTTCTCCTGCCTTTCTTGCCGCTGTGTCAAGCTTGTGTTGGTGTTAGGAAGGTGAGCACTGCACAAAATATATTAAACCTGCAAAAATTGGAAATATGAAGGGAAAAAATAGCAAAAGACAGGGATCAAACCCACGCCTTTATAGATGAATTCCTTAACGCGCGCGCTCTTTCCACTGGGGTGGGTGTTACATATGGTATTAGAATAAAAGCTTACAAATATAGAAAATAAAAACAAATGAATGGGTCAGAGAGGCGCTTGAGCCCTAGCTCTGGTCGTCTTCTCTGGCGAAGTGTTTTTTTCAACCTGCAAAATAGAAATTGTTAGTTATCCAAACGAACCCTACCCCCTAATTTGACCCTTGCGAGTTCAATGGTGGCCTTGGTTTTTACTGAATCGTCTTGTGTACATAGATATAAAGAAAACAAAGCAAATTGGTATAACTATGGTGATGCATCATGCTGGCATTATAGGACTCATGTGATGGGTTAGACCTGTACTAGTACACCTCAGGAACACATTAGTAATATTAGTTCATATCAAAACATCACAAAAATTAAAATACAAATTTCATGTAAACATAGAAACTGTTAATGCATAGATGCGAGTTTCAGGATTCTTTGATCATCAAGAGTGATCAATATTTACTCTATAATGTCCCCAGAGTTGATTTGGATGGTTGTTTGGTCTTGAAAGTGGCTATATTAGAGTTTTCAAGTTTGCCTTAGTTTGGTTAAATTTTGATACTTTTTGAGGGAGTTCTCTTGCAAGGGATTCATGGTCTCTCTTGCCTTTGTCTTCAAAAATGACCAGAGGAAGAGGTTGAGGTTCAGGAGAAGGTTCATTAATTTTTTATTCATGTGAGGCTTCCTAAGAAGTGTTGTCCAGAAAAAGAAGACGTTTGCTTACCCAGAAACGTAGAACTTGATCCATGAAGATATTCAGATG